GTGGGCAAGGACACAGGGGCCCCATGATCCCCAATTGCCCGGGGGCCCCATGAGTTGTCAGTCCGCCCCTGGATGTTAATGGGTGAGAGAAATGGCGCTGCGCTACGTGCCCTAAGAATCAATAAACAATGACACATAAAACTACTGATAAATCGGTGAACAATCCCATAAATCAGAAAATACGTGAATAATCTACATACAGTGAAGGAAATAAGTATTTGTATTTCAATGGTTTTTATTAATTTGTAACAGTTTTAACACAGGAGCAACAAATCACGCCCAGGGGCGGACTGACAACTCATGGGGCCCCCCGGGCAATAGGGGATCATGGGGCCCCTGTGTCCTTGCCCAAACTCAAAAAAGCCTATGAAAAAGGTACCAGGGGCATCTCATGGGCCCCCTACTGACCCTGGGCCCGAGTTTCCAAATGGTCAGTCCGCCCCTGATCACGCCCACGCAGGGGCTATCAATTGCACATAAAAAATTAGAAAATGAGAAAAATCAGCGCTCTGACATCAACAGAGCAAAAGGGACGCCCACGCAGGGGCTATCAATGGCACTTAAATAACAAAACATTAGTATAACATTGATATTAACTCAAACTAAAGGCAGTTATCCACTGCCACACACCAAAAACAAACAAAAGACAAACAAAAAGGAAAGAGGAGTACAAAAGAAATAAAATAAAATCAAGAGCAGGGATCCAAGAACGCCAATACCAAACAACATCACATCCCCAGGAAATGCGTATTTGCTCCCTGCTGATGTTGAATGTTTGCCCACTCACAAAGAAATGATCTGTCTAAAAATCGAATGTTCGGTGTATTGTAACACCGAGAGACAGAATAGCAACAAAAAATTCAAAAGAAATGCATGTCTAACAAATAAATTGTTTTCTTGGTGACTGTGGTCCCAGCTACCTGGAGATCATTGACAAGATCCTCACGTGTAGTTCTGGGATGATTCCTCACTGTTCTCATGATCATTGACACTCCACGAGGCGAGATCTTGCATGGTGCACCAGACCTAGGGAGACTGACAAGGAAATGATCAGTCTAAAAATCTAATGTTCGGTGTATTGTAACACTGAGAGATAGAATAGCAACAACAAATTCAGCAGAAATGCATCTAACAAATGATGACTGATCTGCATGTTCATGAGGGAAATAAGGATTTGATCCCCTATCATTCAGCAGGATTTCTGGCTCCCAGGTGTCAATCATACAGGTAACAAGCTGATATTAGAAGCAGTCTCTTAAAGGGAGTGCTGCTAATCTCATTTTGTTACCTGTATATAAGACACCTGTCCACAGGAGCAATCAAACCATCAGATTCCAAACTCTCCACCATGGCAAAGACCAAAGAGCTGTCCAAGGATGTCAGGGACAAGATGGTAGACCTACACAAGGCTGGATTGGGCTACCAAACTATGGCCAAGCAGCTTGGTGAGAAGGTGACAACAGTTGGTGCAATCATTCACAAATGGAAGAAACACAAAACAAGTGTCAGTCTCCCTAGGTCTGGTGCACCATGCAAGATCTCACCTCGTGGAGTGTCAATGATCATGAGAACAGTGAGGAATCATCCCAGAACTACACATGAGGATCTTGTCAATGATCTCCAGTCGGCTGGGACCACAGTCACCAAGAAAACAATTGGTAACACACTACACCGACAAGGACTGAAATCCTGCAGTGCCCGCAAGGTCCCTCTGCTCAAGAAAGCACATGTCCAGGCCCGTCTCAAGTCTGCCACTGAACATCTGAATGATGCAGAGGAGGACTGGTGGGAAGTGTTGTGGTCAGATGAGACCAAAATCGAGCTCTTTGGCGTCAACTCAACTCACCGTGTTTGGAGGAGGAGGAATGCTGCCTATGACCCCAAGAACATAATCCCAATTGTGAAACATGGTGGTGGAAACATTCTGCTTTGGGGGTGCTTTTCTGCTAAGGGGACAGGACAACTGCACCGCATCAAAGGGACGATGGACGGGGCAATGTACCATCAAATCTTGGGTGAGAACTTTCTTCCCTCAGCCAGGGCATTGAAAATGGGTGGTGGATGGGTGTTCCAGCATGACAATGACCCAAAACACACGGCCAAGGCAACAAAGGAGCGGCACAAGAAGAAGCACATTAAGGTCCTGGAGTGGCCTAGCCAGTCTCCAGACCTACTGAAATGGCAGGCTGGTTGCTGCAGCATTCAGATGGTAGGCTCAGATGAAGAAGGGATCCCCCTTCGAAACGCATTAGCGTCACTCTGAGGATCTCCCCTTCTGATGGGATTTTTTTACTACTATGTTTGTGAGTATATCTCCTAAATCAATTAATCAATGAACTGTTTACTGAGGTAATGTGCAAGGTTGGTGTACTCTGTCTTTTGTTCTTCACTACAATTCAAATGGTAGGGTCAGAATTTGGTGTAAACAACATGAAAGCATGGATCCATCCTGCCTTGTATCATCAGTTCAGGCTGGTGGTGGTGGTATCATGGTGTGGGGGATATTTTCTTGGCCCTAATAAAGTGGCCAGTAAGTGTGTATACCTAGAGCCGGTGTTAAATCCTTGACAAGCTGTAAATAAGCTTTTAAAATAGGTCCTCACTGACCTCTCTAGCTCCGTGAGCTATGGAATTATTCATCCTCAAAGACCACAACAGAGACTCTGATGTCTGTTTCCATCAGTATCTGAAAGCTTACAGCACGCGCTGTTTGTTCACTTTAGAAAGCCATAGAAAATAAGGGGAAAGGAGCCGTGATTTCAGGGTTTATCTTGTGAATCTTGAGGATGAATGTATCCACAGTGCTTACATCTACAGATGTGAATGAGGTCTTGTAATAAAGTGTTGGAATATGCAAATATGTAATGTTTCTAGTCTAGTCAGAGGTTCTTGTTAAGATTTGCCCGTCTGTAAAAAAAAAAAAAAAAAAAAAAAAAGCTCATGTTAGCAGTCTAGATTTCTGTGCTGAACCTGTGTGTATCAGTACTGCTTGGACCTCAGAAGAAGTGGGGGTAGACCCCAAAAAGCTCTTCCTGCAAATGTAACTGTTAGGCCGGCCATACATGGGTTGAAAGTTGAAAACCTAAGAATAACCGTCCGATTTTCGCTTTGTTAGTGGGTCAATGGCACCAGCCGATTTTTGGGGTTCCTCCCCTTTTCGGTGATTGGGCATGTTGTAAAAATTCATGAAAAAACGACCGATTTTCGACTCGATGGTCAAAATTTGGATGAAAAATTGTTTGGAATTCGAACCATGTATGGCCTGCATAAGGCTCCATGTACACGGGATGTTTGGAAAACACTTCTGAACGATGGAAACTACTGTATTTTTCGCTCCATAAGACGCACCTAGGTTTTAGAGGCGAAAAAAAAGAAAAAAAAATATTCTGAACCAATGGACTGCAGACACAGTACAGGGGATGACCAGAGACTGCGGACACAGTACAGGAGATGACCAGAGACTGCGGACACAGTACAGGAGATGACCAGAGACTGCGGACACAGTACAGGAGATGACCAGAGACTGCGGACACAATACAGGAGATGACCAGAGACTGCGGACACAGTACAGGAGATGACCAGAGACTGCGGACACAATACAGGAGATGACCAGAGACTGCGGACACAGTACAGGAGATGACCAGAGACTGCGGACACAGTACAGGAGATGACCAGAGACTGCAGACATAGTACAGGAGATGACCAGAGACTGCGGACACAGTACAGGAGATGACCAGAGACTGCAGACACAGTACAGGAGATGACCAGAGAATGCGGACACAGTACAGGAGATGACCAGAGACTGCGGACACAGTACAGGAGATGGCCAGAGACTGCGGACACAGTGCAGGAGATGACCAGAGACTGCGGACACAGTACAGGGGATGACCAGAGACTGCGGACACAGTACAGGAGATGACCAGAGACTGCGGACACAGTACAGGAGATGACCAGAGACTGCGGACACAGTACAGGAGATGACCAGAGACTGCGGACATAGTACAGGGAGATGACCAGAGACTGCGGACATAGTACAGGGAGATGACCAGAGACTGCGGACATAGTACAGGGAGATGACCAGAGACTGCGGACACAGTACAGGGAGATGACCAGAGACTGCGGACACAGTACAGGAGATGACCAGAGACTGCGGACACAGTACAGGAGATGACCAGAGACTGCGGACACAGTACAGGAGATGACCAGAGACTGCGGACACAGTACAGGAGATGACCAGAGACTGCGGACATAGTACAGGAGATGACCAGAGACTGCGGACATAGTACAGGAGATGACCAGAGACTGCGGACACAGTACAGGAGATGACCAGAGACTGCGGACACAGTACAGGAGATGACCAGAGACTGCGGACATAGTACAGGAGATGACCAGAGACTGCGGACATAGTACAGGAGATGACCAGAGACTGCGGATACAGTACAGGGGATGACCAGAGACTGCGGACACAGTACAGGGGATGACCGGAGACTGCGGATACAGTACAGGGGATGACCAGAGACTGCGGACACAGTGCAGGAGATGACCAGAGACTGCGGACAGTGCAGGGGATGACCAGAGACTGCAGACAGTGCAAGGAACGACCAGAGACTGCAGACAGTGCAGGGAATGACCAGAGACTGCTGACCTTTGGGGAGGGAGGGGGAGCGGGTACCTGAATTTGACAGGTACCCGCTCCCACTTCTGCGGAGTTGTCCTTCCCTCTTCTTCCCGGGCCGGCTTCTGTGACAGCCGGATGCCCACTGCGCATGTGCGAGAAGCGCTGCGCTTTGTGAATGGCCCGGCGCCTTCTGGGACCTGTCATGTGTCCCAGAAGACACCGGATCATGCACAAAGCGCAGCACATGCGCAGTGGGCACCCGGCTGTCACCGAAGCCAGCGCAGGAAGACTGTGCAGCGCTGGAGCGAGGAACAGGTAAGGCCCTGCAGGAGAGAACAGCTGAGCGGCCGGCCCGGTATTCTGACATGATGGCGGCAGAAATACCAGACCGGCCGCTTTGTATTCGCTCCATAAGACGCACTGACATTTTCCCCCCCTTTTGGGGGGGGAAAAAATGCGTCTTATGGAGTGAAAAATACGGTAACTGCTGGAAAACATGGGTTAAAAAACGTCTGTTTAGCCGCGTTTGCATACCGCGTTTATGCGTGTTTGCGTTTAGAAGCATTTTTTTAAAGATAACATCAGGAGACCCTCCCAAATGCTCAGAATGCACTGAAAAACAGTAAAAAATTAACTATTTCAGACATTTTGAGAGAAATAGAGAGAGCAGAAGCAGAGAGAGCAGTATGTGTGGAGATTAGCTGTCTTCTGGTTGTATTCACTATGGATCCCATCATGAGCATAATGCGGCGCGTTCGACCATTTTTTCCTTCACGCCAAACCTGGAACTGACTGCGCTGGTGTACCGGGTCCATTTGAATACATGGAAAACACTTTGCATGCATTTCTGATGACGAAGAAAGGCTCCGGACAGCATCTGGATACGGAACAGTTAAAAAACACTTCTAAATGCAAACGCTTATAAACGTGGTTAGCTGCGTTTGCGTTTGAAATGCTGATAAAATCTCCTGACCGCAGGTTTGGTGCCTTAAAAAAAAAAAGGACTGTAAACTCAACTGCCTGTAAATGAAGATGTGTACACGGACACCTAGGAGAACATTCGGGAGAGTTCAGGGGCTGCTGAAAAAAACGCAGAAAAGCTCCTAAACGCGAATTTATCAGCTGCAGTGTACATGGAGCCTAAGTGGGGAAAAAAAGGATCATGGACATACTCCGTGTGCTAATATGGCCACAATCACCAAACGTTTTCAACGATAAAATGAAAAACACTCCGCTACATTTCCTTTTCCCTCTCCTGTCGGCGCTGCGCCTTTGATTGTCGCAGTCTGAGTGTTTGTAGTTGCTGTAGGTGGGAGAGAGGGACCTTTCAAGGTGGGCCGACCGATTCCTCATCTGCCCGGAAGATCAGTAGATAACGTCTCCAGACAGATCATCTCCATAATTGGTGCGAAGAGGCCTTCTTCCCATTATCTCCGCTCACCTTTTCATGTTTGGAGAACTTGTCCCGCTAATGGTCTCCGCCAGACACGTCGGGGGAATTTGTATTGTATCACCAGAGGTGACTCCTTTCCTTCAATGTGGAGAGGATGAGGATGGGGACAATGGCTGTGTTTTCATGTCTGCCATTCGGGTCACAGAAACGGGATTTGTGAAGTTTCCTGTACTCGGCCATGATTTCTAATGTACCCAATTATGTCTGTGTAACGTGTATTGTGGCCTTTACCGGGCTCATGTGCACTGCGGCTGATGAACTCACGTTTAGGAGCTTTTCTGCGCTTTTTTCAGCAGCCCCTGAACTCTCCCTAATGGTATCTGTGTACACATCGTCCTCTACAGGCTGTTGAATTTACAGTCGTTTTTTTTTTTACGCACCAAACTTGCATTCAGGAGTAGATTTTTCTGGCGTTCCAAATGCTTGTAAATGCAGTTAACCTCGTTTAGAAGCGTTTTTAACCACTTTCCAGTCCGGACGCTTTCCCCCACTTCCAGTCCGGACACTTTCCCCCCCTTCCAGTCCGGACACTTTCCCCCACTTCCAGTCCGGACACTTTCCCCCCTTCCAGTCCGGACGCTTTCCCCCACTTCCAGTCCGGACGCTTTCCCCCACTTCCAGTCCGGACGCTTTCCCCCACTTCCAGTCCGGACACTTTCCCCCCTTCCAGTCCGGACGCTTTCCCCCACTTCCAGTCCGGACACTTTCACCCCCTTCCAGTCCGGACGCTTTCACCCCCTTCCAGTCCGGACGCTTTCCCCCACTTCCAGTCCGGACGCTTTCCCCCCCCTTCCAGTTCGGACGCTTTTCCCCCCCTTCCAGTTCGGACGCTTTCCCCCCCCCTTCCAGTTCGGACGCTTTCCCCCCCCCCTTCCAGTTCGGACGCTTTCCCCCCCTTCCAGTTCGGACGCTTTCACCCCCTTCCAGTTCGGACGCTTTCACCCCCTTCCAGTTTGGACGCTTTCCCCCCCTTCCAGTTTGGACGCTTTCCCCCCCTTCCAGTTTGGACGCTTTCCCCCCCTTCCAGTTTGGACGCTTTCCCCCCCTTCCAGTTTGGACGCTTTCCCCCCCTTCCAGTTTGGACGCTTTCCCCCCCTTCCAGTTTGGACGCTTTCCCCCCCTTCCAGTTTGGACGCTTTCCCCCCCTTCCAGTTTGGACGCTTCCCCCCCCTTCCAGTCCGGACGCTTTCCCCCCCCCTTCCAGTCCGGACGCTTTCCCCCCCTTCCAGTCCGGACGCTTTCCCCCCCTTCCAGTCCGGACGCTTTCCCCCCCTTCCAGTCCGGACGCTTTCCCCCACTTCCAGTCCGGACGCTTTCCCCCCCCCTTCCAGTCCGGACGCTTTCCCCCCCCTTCCAGTCCGGACGCTTTCCCCCCCTTCCAGTCCGGACGCTTTCCCCCCCTTCCAGTCCGGACGCTTTCCCCCCCTTCCAGTCCGGACGCTTTCCCCCCCCCCCCTTCCAGTCCGGACGCTTTCCCCCCCTTCCAGTCCGGACGCTTTCCCCCCCTTCCAGTCCGGACGCTTTCCCCCCCTTCCAGTCTGGACGCTTTCCCCCCCTTCCAGTCTGGACGCTTTCCCCCCCTTCCAGTCCGGACGCTTTCCCCCCCTTTCCAGTCCGGACGCTTTCCCCCCCTTCCAGTCTGGACGCTTTCCCCCCCTTCCAGTCCGGACGCTTTCCCCCCCCTTCCAGTCCGGACACTTTCACCCCCTTCCAGTCCGGACACTTTCACCCCCTTCCAGTCCGGACACTTTCACCCCCTTCCAGTCTGGACACTTTCCCCCCCTTCCAGTCCGGACACTTTCCCCCCCTTCCAGTCCGGACACTTTCACCCCCTTCCAGTCCAGGGCAATTTTCAGCTTTCAGCGCTATCACACTTTGAATGACAATTGCGCGGTCATGCAATACTGTACCCAAATTAATTTTTTACCATTTTTTTGAGACAGATAAAGCTTTATTTTGGTGGTATTTATTCACCACTGGGATTTTTATTTTTTTGCTATGTAAATGAAAATGTCCAAAAATTTTGAAAAAAAGTGTTTTTTTAAATAAAATTTTGCAAATAAATAATATTTCATAAATCTTGGCCAAAATTTATTCCGTTATCTTTTTAGTAAAAAAAAAAAAAATCCAAATTAGTTTATAACCAAAAATTATAATTTTTAAACATTTTTTTTACATTTTTTTATTTTATTTTTTTATATTGTTATTTTTTTTTTTTTTTTTTTTTTTACATACTGTCACCCTAGCAGTACAGTGTCACCATAGTGACACTGTACTACTTGTGGGGGGTGATGCAGATTTTTTATTTTTTTTTACACTGATTGCTTTTACACCCATATAGGATGTAACAGCAATCATTTCTCTTTCTCTCTGTGTGCATTCTTGCACTCATTGAGAAGTACTGAGTGAGCTGTGATTGGTCACAGCTTGTCACATGGTACAAGGCTGTTGTGAATAGCCCTGTACCATGTGACCTCTGTGATCATTCACAGATTTCACACGTAGTAAGCAATGATGTCACAAGTGACATCTTGCTTACTACTTTGCATGTGATCACTGATTGGCCAATTAGTGATCACATGATCGGGACCTCGTACAGACGATCGGTGTTTCACTGTGGATCGCGGTGGAGCGCGCACAAGCAGGGTTCGGGGAGACCGTTTATGAACGGCCACCCGACCCTGCACTGCCACCGTCCGGCCGTTTATATACAACGGCCGGTCGGGAAGTGGTTAACTGTTCCATGTCCAGATGCTGTCTGGAGCCTTTTTCATCAGAAATGCATGTACAGCATTTTCCATGTATTCAGATGGTCCCGGTACACCAGCGCAGTCAGTTCCAGGTTTTGTGTGAAGAAAATAAATGGTAGAACGCGCCGCATTATGCTCATGATGGGATCCATAGTGAATACAACCAGAAAAGACAGGTCATCTCCACACATACTGCTCTCTCTGCTTCTACTCTCTCTATTCCTCTCAGAATGTCTGAAACAGGGGCGGACTGACCATTTGGGAACTCGGGCACTGCACGAGGGCCCGGGGTCAGTAGGGGGCCCCCATGAGATGCCCTTGGTACCTTTCATAGGCTTTTTTGGGTGTGGGCGAGGACACGGGCCCCATGATCCCTTATTGCCCGTGGGCCCCATGAGTTGTCAGTCCGCCCCTGGTCTGAAATAGTTCATTATTTACTGTTTTCAGTGCATTCTGGGCATTTGGGAAGGTCTCCTGAGGTTCTCTTTTAAAAACGCTTCTACACGGAAAGGTGGCTAAACTGACGTTTTTTATCCTACGGTTTCCAGCAGTCAGTTTCCATCGTTCAGAAGGATTTTCCAAGCGCCCTGTGTACATTGAGCCCTTATTGTACGTGTTACTCCATGATACACCTATGATGTGTCATATAGTTACATAGTTAGTCTGGCTGAAAAAAAAGACAAAAGTCCATCCAATTCAACCATAGAAAAAAAAAAAGTTATAATCCTACACCCACAGATGATCCAGAGGAAGGCAAAAAAAACCCAGCAAGGCACGATGCAATTCACTCCTGGTGAGCCTTGTTCCCTTATAGCTGTACAGATCTGTGGTTTCCTTTTGTGTCCATTCACACGCATTGCAGGCGGTAATGTACAACTGTGCACGAGCAACGCGTAGATATGAACCTCAACATAGGACAGGATGGGATTTCCACTTAAAGGGGAACTTCACTCTCTCAATCAACACGGACTACTTTTAATCCTCGTGCTGCTAGCATTAGTAAATGGATAGGAAAGTAGATCATATTTATTTGTTTTAAAATGGAAGTAAAATCTTTTTTTTCATTTTTTGTCTTCAGTTACGCCTTTAACCCCCCTGGAGGTATTCCCGAGTGTAGCTCGGGGTAAAGTTTCAGCACCACAAGCGGTAACCCCCCCCGAGCTACACTCGGGAATACACTGCAGCGTTGCTCCGGGATCTCTTCTGCACTTACCTTGTCCTGCGCTCCCGCGATGTCCCCCCTGCAGTGTCCCCGGCAATGTCCTCCAGCTGATGCCGGCATCTGTCTTCCGGGTTCCGTTCCCTGCGACGTCGGGACGTACGGGGGCGGAACTGGCGGGAAATTTGAAAATGACAAAAAGTGACATTCACTAAATACACTGAAATCACATAGTATAACATTCCTGTTTCAAACCATTTCACATACATTTTGTCCCGAGTGCTTTGTCCGGCGCCCTGCCTGCATTTTTACTGTTCTTTCTGCCTGGAAACTGAGAAACGTCCATGGCGTCCAAAAAGCGTCCCTTTAGGTCAGACGCGGTTTTAGACCGGCTAGAGAACAGCGATAGTAAATCAGAACCACTTGCAGAATTGAGTGATAATGATTGGTGGGGGAAATTCCTCATCAGACACTGAAAACGATTCTGCGACTTTGCTCAGCGATGTGCGAACTTGGCGCTATATTTCACATTTCAGTGTTTTTGGTTTGATTATATTATTGAATTACATTTATTATTATTATTATTATACAGGACTTATATAGCGAAGACAGTTTGCTCAGCGCTTTACATTATGGAGGGAGACAATACAGTAACAATACAGTTCAATACAAGAGGGATTAGAGGGCCCTGATCCTGGGAGCTTACAATCTAGGAGGGGGGGGCTAGTGGTACAAAAGGTAATTAGCTGTGGGGGATGGAGTGGTAGGAAGAGTAGAGGATTCCAGTATTAGCTGGGGGCGGGGTAGGCTTCCCTGAAGAGATGGATTTTCAGAGTGCGCCTAAAAGTGAGCAGAGTGGGCAATAGTCTATATTATTGAATTAAATTTATTATTATAATAATATTTTTTATGAATATTTATTACATTTATGATTTCGTGTTTCAAATTTTATCCTCCCCGGGATGTTTACTAGATTCTTGTTCGGACAGATTTCAGTGAGTTATTCCTAAAAATTACAGGCCTACAATAAAAATACAACATATTTCCATGCAAAAAAAATGTACCGCTTTGAGCACAGAAATACTGACATAATCAGACCGCTAAGGAGGTTAAAGTGGTTCTAAAGGCTCATTCTATGTATGAAGGTGAAAAAAACTTTTTGTGTATAGCAGTCCCCCCAACATTCACCTGAGCCCCACCCAGATCCAGCAACGGCCATGAGAGCCTTATGCAGGCCATACATGGGTCGAATTCCGAATGATTTTTTTTTCGTCCGAAAACTGAAAACGTTGTTTGCTCGGTAATCCGATGGCGCCATCAATGATTTCGAAAATTGGCCGACTGAGTCATAAAGTTCACCCCGTATAACAGATTAAACTTCAGCTATATATACCTTAGATTGTATGTCCCTTGAGGGTTAGGGACCTTAGATTATACACCCCTTGAGGGTTAGGGACCTTAGATTATACACCCCTTGAGGGTTAGGGACCTTAGATTGTACGCCCCTTGAGGGTTAGGGACCTTAGATTGTACGCCCCTTGAGGGTTAGGGACCTTAGATTGTACGTCCCTTGAGGGTTAGGGACCTTAGATTGTACACCCCTTGAGGGTTAGGGACCTTAGATTGTACACCCCTTGAGGGTTAGGGACCTTAGATTGTACGCCCCTTGAGGGTGAGGGACCTTAGATTGTACACCCCTTGAGGGTTAGGGACCTTAGATTGTACACCCCTTGAGGGTTAGGGACCTTAGATTGTACGCCCCTTGAGGGTGAGGGACCTTAGATTGTACACCCCTTGAGGGTTAGGGACCTTAGATTGTATGCCCCTTGAGGGTTAGGGACCTTAGATTGTACGCCCCTTGAGGGTTAGGGACCTTAGATTGTACACCCTTGAGGGTGAGGGACCTTAGATTGTACGCCCCTTGAGGGTTAGGGACCTTAGATTGTACACCCCTTGAGGGTTAGGGACTTTAGATTGTACGCCCCTTGAGGGTTAGGGACCTTAGATTGTACGCCCCTTGAGGGTTAGGGACCTTAGATTGTACACCCCTTGAGGGTTAGGGACCTTAGATTGTACACCCTTGAGGGTGAGGGACCTTAGATTGTACGCCCCTTGAG